CTATGTTTAGTCCGAGTTGGATCGGTCAGGACATCCCACTTCACCCCCTCTCGCTAAACCCGCTTTGGGCCGTTTTTGGTCACGCTGAATGATTTTACTTTACCGAGNGTTTGGTCGAAAATGTAGTCACTTTGCTATCCGTTAGGGCGTAGGTAACCAACATGGCAGCCATGAATTTACCAGCTGTTTTTTGTTTACACCTATTTTTATTATTAAATACGCATTAATTAAATCAGACCAATACATTTCTTTTTTTAATTTCCGACCTGTCCTTATTCTCTCGTTCATAATAGATACATCCCATATCTTATAAAGTTGTAGGCTGTTTGTCGTTAGGGTACAAGTTAGGTATGTCGGCACGAATGGAAGCGTGTCATTTGTTAGTACTTTTCGAGTGCACAGAAAGGATTTTGAATGAAAGAGTTGATTAATTTTCCTTTTTTATTAACTTCTTGCATCTTACAATTTAACATGAAACAAAACCATAACAAACAACAACAAGCCTTCAAGGACTGTTATAGCTTTATTTTTGGTTCTACCAGTCGTCACGCACAGCATTGCGGAAAAATTAACGTTTAACATGCTACGAAAAGAAGAAGGCGTTCACGATTTTACTGGGCATTTTTCTACTCGAGTTAACACGAGTTAACTCTTACAAACATCGTGAATACCCCTATTATTTGAACCACTTCTAATGGTCGGAATCTCATGACACCAGTTTCACATTTTGCGTTGTACAAATTATTACAATTTAAGGCAAGATTCGTTTAATCTGAATACAGATAATATACATTTAAATACAAATTAATTCCTATTGATTTATCACGTTGACGGAATAAAAAAATTAACATAAGGGTTTTGTAAAATATCACTTTCCAAATTAGACTCACTGTTGGAAACAAATCTTTAGATGGGGCTTAATTCGTCAACCTTTCTAGAAAACCGAAGTGTTGAACAATCAGTAGTATTCACAGATAAGGAGTAGAAGGATTTTGTCCCTCTGTCCCCATCCGATGGAAAATTTATTGTAATTATGTATTTCAAATGTTACAAACTTAAGTGAAAAAAAAAAACAAGGAGTTGGACAAAAGCGATAATGGAAAATCTAGGCCATACATATCTTTACACTGTACTTGCAAAACGATGGAACGCACCTGAGTCGATACTAGCATCTATTAGAAAATAAAACTTTCTGATTTGAAAAGAAAAACATCGTTATAATAAACGTTCCAGGGGACGTCGGTGCCGCAACTTATCTGGCGTTGAAACTGCATTCATCACTGTAAGGTAAAGGTCAAGGAGTGCAGGATTCGAACCCGACTTACATACAAATGGTCTTTTATTTTTCAAAAACACCGACACCCCTAAGGTTGATATGACCTCTGCTATTGTAAACCATCATTTAAAAACAAAAAAGTACCAACCACAGTAAAACGTTTTAGTAAGGGACTGTCATGGTGTAACTAGTTTTGTCCTCTTTCGAGAGGTGTATATTTAGTTATACACTTTCAATGACTTTACGATATTCTAATATTTTACATCCCCGCTAAGCTTTTATTTATCAGCTTGGTTCTTTATACCAAGTGTCCTAAATTTTTCCAAAGAATTAATACAACTTAGATAGAAAAAATGAAATGATGTCCTTTATTTAGAAAATCTTCAAAGTAGAGGTATGAAGCACTGAAGATAAATGCATCTTAACTATCCTGTAAACAGAGGAGTCCCTTATGGATTTACTATATATCAGTTATTGGAGGAATTTTGACAGCATGCAATGTCTATTATCATAAGTATGACTAGATTAAAAATTTGATTTTTAAAGGTTTTTAAGGAGTGTTGCCACTGGGCAACATCTCCTACAAGAGACTCAAATGACAAATTCAACATATTTACTTAACACAACATTTGTAGTTGTAAAAGTCAAATAAATGTAATAAAAAGGGCCTGTGAAAAGAATTAAGTATATAAAGTCTATCATAATATAACGCATCATATTTATTATATATCAAATGAAATTAGGATATGTTCATGCTTTGCGGACCTCGTTCCAACAAACTACCTTTTTGGGCCACTTCAATATTTTTTAATCCAACAAATTCTAATAAATAGGATGGAATAGCAATTCAAAGCTTCTTGCTGACCTGAAAATAAAAATTCCAAACATGTAAGTCTTAAGTTCAAGTTTCTGTCTACTAAGACAATCACAGTCGGTTGAGATATTAAAAGAAGACCAAGCATTTAAAAAAAACCCTATGATGGCTAAATTATAGTAGGGTTTTTAAATTTCCAGGGCACTAGACAAACCTACGTATTCCAGCAACATGAACAGTATCAGAAGTCTGTCCCATGCTTCAGAAACTAGTTGTGCACATCCTACACTTTGTGAGACTCTAGAAGCACGCACACAGGATATCGGCCAGAGCACCTCGTACAGTAGAAGTTCGGTGTCAGCCTAGATTGACAACAGAGCAGAGGGAAAAATAGGCAAATAGCCACTTTGAAAAAGCTTCCTGTGTGCTTTTAACCTTTCCAATATTGTATTGTTCTAGAGGAAGAAGAGAGCCATTTTTATAATCTTTGGCCTAGGCAGTGTTTTAAGGTATATCGTGGACAGTATGGGCCTAAAGATAGAGCCTAGAACCTTGAGAAAGAACAAGAGTTCCGTTCGGAAAGAAAATATGGAAAGAAAACTTCGAATTATCTGGACAAGAGGTACTGGATTATTTTTGTTATCTAAGAAGGGAAGTTGCATCCCATCATTGTCATTACTTTCATCATCTATTGGTCTGACATTATGATGTTCTCTCTTTTCATTTAAGTAGACAACAGGTCTGGAACTGTTAGGGGCAGATGGAGACTTCCCAAGTATCAAAATGATTGTGAGTATACCCTCTTCGGTTAATCTCTTTTTAAATTTAATTTTGAACAATATTATACTGAACATATTTTGATGATTATTTTATCAGGTCACTAGTTGGACAGAACGCCATATCGATTAGGTTTCGATGATCAAATATCACTGCTAACGCGATCAAACATATTTTTCTTTGGCGAATGCGTGATAGGGGTGTGAAATAGGGTGAGAAACGAACAATGCAGCTGATAGTACGTTCAACAATGCTGACACGTCGGAAACCCAACCTGCGTCAAAGCGATAATAGGACATGTCAAAAACGACGAAATCAGATTCTACTCTGGGAAAATAAATCACACCCTAACAAATCCTTAGTAGATTCCCTGAAAATCCTGAAATTCTGAATAAATATATCAGTTTGAATTATAAAATAATTCACAATGTCTATGTTTACATTAATTATATTCCTGTGATATTTCACATGTAAGCATAGTATAGCACATCTATGAACCTAACAATAATTATTGAACATAAATCAAATAATAAACCATGCAAAAGCGGCCATACCAAAATACCTTCCATGCTTGACAACTAATAATAAATAACGGCTGGTAAATACATTATATCCGTAAGGATGACAAAGCTACAAAAACTATAAAGCTCAGCTCTTACAGTAACATAAAGAAAAATATTGATTAAAAATAAATATATGTTTTTATTTTAGATTGGGTATTGACCCTAAAAGTTCATAATGTATGTATATAAAAAAAGTACCAAGTATGTAATGTATGAAAGATATTCTTTCAATTAGAAATATATATATATATATATACCTTATGATTATGTTCATTGGGTTTATAACCTGCTTTTTTGTCATTTCTCATCGTTTCATCTTCATCTCATTATGTTTATATCAAATAATAAAATAATCATTAGTTTTGCGTTAGAAATGACCAATTGAATGTCCAAGGAGTTTTGGGGCACAAAAGTACTAAAACAGTTTATAAATGGAACAGTCGGTTTATAACAATAGGTCTTATCGTCCCTCATACAGACATTACTGTTTTCCATAGGAATTGGCGACCACATTGACTCTTCGAGAAATAGAGGCGTAGAGGCACAATCGAGATGAAAATCGTATTGACCAACGACAAACTGCCATGTTCTCAAAAAATTTTAACAGAAAAATCACAATGTATTGGTCAATACTAAACGGCATAGTTTCGGTTTAATAATCTCTCTTAATAATACAAATATATAAAAAATTTAAAAGCTAATCCATGATTCTCTGTTACTACAAAATATGTTTTTATATAGATTGATTAACTAGCAATGAAAATTAACATAATTTTAAACTTTATAGATTATTCCTTTTATCACTCATTAAATATCTACAAAGCATAATTGGAAATATAGGATTAGCAATAAGGTCAGAAGGCTTAAAAATCCGTAATGATTTTTATATGCCTTGTTTTGGGGCAAATCGGTATTACCTATCTAATCGACGTTTTCCAATAAAACACACGCCGATTTACGGAAAAAGGTTTCTTTTTTTAATTATTCCATCGATTTACATTTTCCTGGACCAGTCATTTTATCCCAGGAAAAGTTTCTCGAGACAGTCAATGTTAGTAATTTAGTACAATTGTTAGAAAAATTGACTATTCAGTTTTGTTAAACTCGTGTATGAATTACCAAAATGATAATAAAATAATTTCTTTGTTTAATTATCATTATGTCATGTTACCTAATTAAAACAATAAATGTTTTTTTAATAAAAGGAATGGGATTCTTTTATATAAGGGTAGAATGGAAGGGTAGGACAATATGGCCAAAAAACCTCAATTCCACGACTATTTTTATTAATCTTATGAAAAGAACGATTAAGATTGGTATCTCATATTTCTGACGTTCTGAGCACACTGTTCGGGAAAGTTTCCTTCTATTTGATTCATATTTTCGCTGAAGGAACACGGTATTGAACGGAAGAAAGTTCGTGCGGTTGTGGTAGCCCCCTGACAGAGAATCGAAGTACGATGGCGCGTGAGTGAATCATTCACTTGCCAAATTGAAATTATTTCGATACGGTACACGATGTTGCATTGGTTCTATTTGATTCGGAAGTATTTATGATTTTAGTATTCACCTGATTCTCCGAATTGAGTAGCTTCAGTTGATCGTTGATGAGGCTGTATTTCGCAGATTCTTCCTTTCTGAGTGCTCGTTCTTTCTTCAGTTCCGGGCTCCAAAAGGTCTTGATGCTATGCATACTAGAGCCCAATTTTTGGTTTGTGAGTTCTAACTCTTTTTTGAGGTTGGCCAACTCTCTTTGTAGGTCTGTGTTTTGATTTTGCAGTTCGCCCAAATACGCACCGCCGTCTCTCCCAGTCATAAGATGGGCGTTAGGAGACTGACGTGCGGATCGGCTGCTGGTTCCGTACAGGTCCTCGTCTAGGTACATGCCACGTTCCATTGATCTCTCTCGAGCACCGACACGGTCCAAGGATCGGTCTCTGGGTTCGCGGATGGGCATGAACTCTCTGTCGTGCATTGTATCTGCCACTGTGCCACTAGTTCTGTCCAAAGACTGGTATCTGACAGACATGGTGTTAGCGCCCATGGGTCGGCTGGCACTCCTAGACCTGTGGTGGGCTCCGCTCGACGCGATCGACCTTCCTCTGTCCTCCATCATCGTCGGGCTTCCCAAATCCTCTTCTCTTCCGTAATACTGGGAATTCATAGGCTGATAGCCTAGCACGTGCTCCGGGGAGGCGTTTCCGGATCTAGTGGGTCTCCCTTTTCGTCCTACGGGACTGCCACGGGTACCACTGCCCGAAGTCGGATAGTTCCGTGAAGGAGAACGGTCGACAGTGGGCAATTCGCCTAAACGTCGGGCACTCCTGGGTGATCTATTACCTCCTGTCGTGCTCAAACTGGCACCATAAGGGTCCCGGGACATTTTACTTTCACTTTATCAACACCGAACACACGATTTTCAACTTCGATATTCTCCACTTTCCGATCGATTAGCATGATACGAACTGTGAGAACGAGAACGAAAAACGAGGTCGTAGGCACATGGACTATGATTTCACGACTCGATCACTCCCGCTAACTCACCGCCACGCACAAGACTACACACGAGCGATGTAACCGGTTCCTAGCCCACGGATCTCCACCCCTCGCCGCTGCCACCACCACCGTTACAACCCTCGCCCTTTTCGCCGATCCCGCCCCCAACTACGGCCTCCTGCCCTGATCAATGAAGACCCTGCGCCGCCTCCGATTCCCGGACTTTTATGTTCGCGCTCTCCTCCCTTAATTTCCCTTCACGGCTGGCACACTGACACTGCAACGATGCAACAGGTCTATCACGACGGCCGACGACAGGTACCCTCAGAACCGAAATAAATTTAATTACAAGTGAAATACAAGGAAGTGGACTTGGGACGCCGATTACTAACGACCCCCACGCTTCGGACGACTGCGCAATCTCCCATTCCCCGATTCGACCCTGAACAACGGCTCCGACCCCTGACCTAGATTTTCACCCTGTGCGCTACTCTGAACATGCCAGTTTTTTCTTGGCTCCAATGCGAGACGAACGAGTTGCATTGTGTCATCCGGCCGATTCTTTTACAGCAGAAACAACCAACCCCTTCCATGATTGACCTTTTCAAAAGTCTCCCCATGCTGGACATAATATTAAAAATCTTTTAAATTTGACTCAGGATCGCCGTAGAACCATTAAATAATGGAAAGCAACTCAAACAGCAATTTGGTGTGGTATTTAAATATTTGGGACAATACATATCTATTGGGCGCTCAATATTTGTAGTACTTTTTGGGAATTCAAATCGTCCAGAATCAGTCAAATTTTGGCAAAATTCGATAAGTATATTTTCCAGTGTCTTTACACCTGATAAACTGTTTATACGAATGAAACAAAATAGTTATTACAAAAATTTGTGCCAAAGATCTTTAAAAACGCAATCCTGAAAAGTTTTATTTTTGGATTTATCCGGTTTAGCACCGAGGGGGTAAATTTAAGCTATGAATCTTACAAAATGAACAGTCTTTGGTGTTTTTCTGACATTTCCAGTAGAATTCTGTGGTCAAAATTTTGATTAAGTTGAAAGTCTTGATTCTCTCAATCCTAAAGGAAAAAATAAAGAACGTAGTGTCATCAGCAAATATAGCTTAACGTAGACAGACAATGACAATGTTAAATATGATTCATACCATCAGAAATAGCAAACAAGAATAAAACTACTGTGAAAATAGAAATATAGCCTATTTATTTTAACAATTGAGTAAATAGATCATTGAGGCCGATCGAGCCACCGGTACCTGGCCATACTACACTTTCAGTATTAATTTTTTATTTTATAACAAAGAGATGTGTTCTTTCATTTCAGATTTAAGTACGATAGGCATTGAAGGCGGAAATAGAGAATTGTAGTGTTAAACCAAAATAAAGAGGGTAAATGCGAGATTGAGAGTTGTCGAAATGATTTAAAAATCTCGGCTCTAATAATAATCGTTCCTTTCCTAACTTGAAAAACTTCAGTTAAATGATATTTTAAAAAGTACTTAACCCACTCAGTTCAATTGAAAATGTATGCCGTTTTGTCAACAATTCTCTTTAAATATGTTGGATTTAAAGATAAGTTATTTTATAGATTATTGGTCTTAATAAACGTTTTATCACATAACGGATTGAAATTACTTTAAAATAACAGTATATCTCTCTTATAACTTTTAAAAGCATGCCACGATTCGGGGTTTTCAGCCTGTCTTTTTGCATGTTGATTGTATATTGTAATAAATCTTTTCGCTTTGAATATGCTTGTTCTAATAACATTGCTTGACTGGGTCAAGACCCGATGGGCTCCGATCATCTACCAATATATTTCACAATGGGCAAAACAAGTATTGAAGTGATTCGAAGGAGAGACAAAATATGGAATATTAATAAAGTGGACTGGAGCCTCTACTGCAAAGTATGGGAACAAAAAAGTGTAAAATCAGAAATAAAATTTATAAATTACGGGAATTTCGAAAGCTCCCTTTTGGAGGTCTGCGAGAAAGCTGTACCAAAGTATTCAGAGAATCGAAAATTAAAACCGTCAAGTAAAACCTGGTGGACTTCTGAATGCAGTTAGTCCATACGAAATCAGAAGGAAGCTTTCAAGGCGTATAAAAGATGTCCCAATCAATGAAATTATGAGAAGTACAAAGACCTGACACGAATTGCCCATAGGGCTATTAGGACAGCCAAAATAGATTCCTGGAAAGCCTTTTGCACGTCTCTAAACAGATCTTCCCCTATCAAAACAGTGTGGGAAAAACTCAAAATGATTAAGAACTCCCGAAGTCCTTCAACACCGACTGTCTCTAGAGGTCCATGGCTAGACGAATTCATGAGTAAGCTCTGCCCTCCGGGCCTAGCTTATATGCTTGATGAAAAGGACAAACCACACTCAGAAGCAGAAGATTCACTGATAGCGCCCTTCACGATAAAGGAGTTAGAGAATGCATTACAAAATACCAATAACAGCGCTGCAGGATTGGACCAAATCCACTACAGAATGTTGTGTTTTCTGCCAAGGAGTTATAAAGAGATGCTATTGGAGCTTTTAAACAAAATTTGGGTAAACGTGGAAGTTCCGAAAGAATGGAAAAAACATTGACTATCTTAATATTAAAAAAAGGTAAACCCCCAACGTCTCCTAGTGCATACCGCCCAATAGCCTTCTTGTCATGCGTACAGAAGACGTACAAGAAGAAGCTGAAACACAGACTGCAATGGTGGCTGGAACGGAATAAGAAGCTCCCAACCAGCCAGTACGGTTTTCGCAAAAACCATTCCGTGTTTGACGCTCAACTAGAGCTTATATTTGATACGTATCTAGCTTTTACCGATGATAGATATATTCTAGCATTGTTTTTGGACATTGAGGGAGCCTATGACAACGTCATTCTGCACATACTGCAATCCAAACTTAGGAAGATCGGTTTGCCTCTACTGTTTATCTCTAATGTCATGGAATTAATCACCTGTACAGAGATCTTCTTTGAGGTCAACGGCTCGATCGAAGGTTCCAACATGACATATAAGGGCTTACCACAAGGTGGGATTCTCAGCCCTCTATTGTACGCTTTGTACGTCTCGGATTTGGTGTCGATTCTCCCACAAAATGTACATATCATTCAATATGCAGATGACATTTGTATCTATGTTAATACGAAAAATCCAATATATCTATGCAATCTAAGCAGACTGAGATTTCTTGTCTTAGGGCGAAAAAGCCCATGCTTAAAAGATACACCAGAGACCTTAAGAAATCTCTAGGAACTGGTAGAAAGCTTAACAATTCTGGACAATAATGGACTATTAGTCGTCACCAGGCCGGCTTCTAATAACCAAACCTAAGTACTTACGATTGCACTTATCAAGCTAAGGTGGAATGCCATCATATGAATATCACGCAAGAACAGACATCTTGAACTGCTACCAAAACTTTTAGGACCGAAATTTTCTATGGCTATCAAAAGCCAGTTGATCAAAACTTTGTACTTCGACCATACTGTTGTGGCCCCGAGAGGCGATACAATAACTAGCTAATGTAATCCCTTTACTCAAAAGTCCCCAGAAGAATCGTTCACGTTTCTTACTTCATCAGTAACGTCCAATAGACAGCATACCAATTCAAAGATACTGGTTCAATCTTCCGTTCCATAACCATACTGCTGAACTACTGATTACAGTATCCATCATATCATCTGAAATAATTGCCTCGAAACCTCACCCCTTAATCATATCACTTTGAAAAACGGTGGCGAATACGCGCATTATATACCAATACAAGCCAGAGTCCTGCAGTTCCATTTGTAGGTCCCACCCAGTATACTTTTTGTATTGCTAGTATACAATCAAAGAACAGGGCACAAAGAGGAAAACTGAACTGATTGTCACTAGCTTCTTACTATCTAAATAATTTACAATATTCAGCACATCAGCTATAACCATACCCCCCTGCTTTTTATAAAATACAATATAAATTTAAAATAAAAATAAAAATAAAAAATAAAAAAATCTTATAAAATTGTCGTGGTGGGATCAGGACAGTTGTTTCAGGTCTTTGAGATGAAATAAAAATAACCACAGCAATTAAATACAAATGAACACCTTTTTTTTCTATTTTTTGAAAAAATAAAAATGAACAAAATTTCACAACAAAATAAATTCCCTTTTTTTAATTAAAATAAAATAATACAAATAAGTATCTTTTCTATATTTAAAAAAGAACAATACTGATTAAGGCCTTTTTATAAAAAATTAAGAAAACAAAAAAACATTGTGCCCGCAATAATAAAGAAATCAATTGACAAAGTGAACAAATGAAAATAAAATGTTCTCTGGACAAGTGATTACCCTGCAGCTCGTTGAAAGTCCAAGGTAAATAGTTGTCGAATTCGTATGAAGCCGGTTGTGTAGTCAGGCGTCCAGAAAGATCTCTTCTCTCCGTAAAAAAGGCTGCTGAATCCAGAAAACGTCCACTTGTCGTCCCCGGGGAAAAATAACGAGAGCGCAAACCACAAAAAAAGACAAGCCACCTTTCTCGTCGCCACGCGTTCCTCGTCTGCCGGAGCCGCCGCGCATCAAGCGAACTCTCGTGCACTCGCGCTCCAATTTGAATGTGGTTATATTTTTAAAAGTTCAATTCTACCCTATCGATCCATGATAACCATACTGGTCGAGCATTGCCTACGGGATCCAACACAGAAAACCTACTACGTTTTCTAAAAACAATGGCGTCGAGATCAGTAATTCCTTGCACAGTAAAGTGAAACCAGGAATGATGCAAGCGGGAGCCCCCAACGGAGAAATCTCGGTTCTTCCCAGCATATCAAACACCGCAACATGATACATACCGTCATTACAAACAATCCGGACACAAATGCAGTGTTTTATCTAGCTTCACTCCTATTCAAGCCACCGCCAAATTCTAATAACATCCACAATTTTATCAAATACAAAGCCAGAGAAAAAAATCCGAAAAGAAAAGTGAACGAATTGACACTAGATCCGTACTACCTCATTAACTTCAATGTTCAGCACATCAGCTGTAAGGTCTTACATACACTCTCGCTTTCATAATAACAATTCCACCCTTTCGGTCCATCCTAGCCATACTGCTCAAGAAGCCCTGTCTACAGTATCAAATCAGTTGAATTCTTCACATCATCTTAAACGATGGATTCGAGACCTCGACCCTTAATCCTTTCAAAGTAAATATGTTGATAAATTCCAACATTATCATCACAACATCCGCTGACGATACTGTAATATTTTGTATTATATAAATACAAAAGTACACATAGATTAAGAGGTATGAACAGCCTAATCCGTAACAGGAAAACTCGAGATCTAGATGTTTTAGAAGAAACGACAAGTTTTCTTTAAATTTATAAACTTCCAAGGGGAAAGAAATCCTCTCCTTGTATCGTTTTATGTTGATTTGAATTTCATGTCTCTATAAAAAAAAATTCTGGGTTGTACGCACTGCGGCAACATTCAAACTTTTTTCATGACACCAGAAACATCCCAAGTGCCGCTTCATTTTAACACAATTGATCTTTGTTTTTTTAAAGAAATATCGTAACAGGAAAAAGTTTTCATTTATTGTACAATTATTTGACTCGGTCTCTCAGCATATGTAAATAAAATATTTATGCATGAGGATAATCTACAGTTCACTGTAGTTTTGTAATCTGAAAATAGTCCTAGCAATCTGAAATTTAGTCCTAAAAAGCAACAGGGAATTATATAATGTTAAGGGTTTTTCTGAAAAGGGATGAGATTTATTGATTGTTTGAAAATTATAAAATCATATAATTTATCGTTGTTTTATTTAAAATATTTACACATCGGTTTTTCTTAACATTTATAAATAAATAATTATCGATAAATATGGTAGTTTTGGATAAATAAGGTAGTTTNTTTTTTTGCTATGGGGGGAGGTTATATCTAGCCACATTTTGTTAGTCAGCTACATCGTTACATAATACGAATCTCATATTTTTTCTGGATTTAATGTAAGGTCGATATATTTATTAACAATCGTACATCCACGAGCCTTCACTTGATTTTGTTTTAATTTTTAAAACATTTTCGGCGGGATAGTTTAATTTTGTTTTAAAGATTAGAAACGTCCGTTTGTAAGCACAGTGAATGATGAAAATCTCATTACTTTCTCATTCCTCTTTTTTTTTTCTTTTAACAAGGCAGAACGTTATAAATCAGATCCGCCTGGATTAGGTTTTCCGTATTAAGAAATCAATCCATTTTCAGTTACAAGTGTGCACTTCCTTCGTTTCGGTGCACGTGTCGCAAGTCACGTGACAGCACCAATGGAATTTGCAATTGCACCGCCACACCCTCGTCCGCAGCCTTGTGTTATAACCTCGCCCGCAGCAGAGCAGGTCGCAGCTACCCGGCCCTGTAAAAAGAAGAACACAAGACGATTAAACTCAAATCGAAGAAACGTGTCGTACAGTGACGATTGAAGTGTGAATTTCTAAATTTCAGTTTTAACCTTTCGATCCCTCCTAAACATATTACACAAATACATCGTATCTTATTTGGAGAACCCTCCATGACGAAAATAGCCTCGTCCGTTAATCCTATCAGAGTAATGTGCTGTGAATACGCGTATTATGCCAAAATAAGCCGGAGTATACCGTTTGTACACCAGAATGATCCATCCAATACCATCATTTAAAACAATACACCAAAATAATACAATACAACAAAATACAAAACCTACACCGCGATACTGGACTCCAGCTCGAAACATACCCAAATAACCATCAATTTCCAGTAACACCTATGAAATCACCGAAGTTGATACGAGACCCACAAAGCGGATAATAACACTGAAATAATCGACACTAGATTCTTACCTGATCAACAACCTACAATAACCAGCACATCTGCTCAAAGCTTTCTCTTACACCCCCACTTTCAAAATTCAATTTCAACCTTCAATCCATTCTAACTATCTTGCTCAACCACTGTCTAGAGTATACCATCCGGAGAGCCTCCACTTCGCCTTAAACGATGGTGCCCAAACAAAACTGAACTCATTGGCAAAGCTCCTTCTACCTTGCTAAACTTCAATATCTAGGATAAAAGTCCAATGATCTTTACGTCACCCAGTTGTTACTTCATTACCCACAATTCCCTTGTATCCTATCACTCATGAGATTATAAGGTTTTGGAGGATGGACGTGGATTGGATGGTAAGTGTAGTCTAATTTTATTGTCTACAAAATAAAATACTTATTCAACATTAAAAATTCTAAATTCATTATTTAGAGAAATCTGCAATAAATAATTATTCAAGATACGCACGGTAAATAGTTCGAGATTTGTGGTGGACTAATATTTTACCTGAAAATCGTGTGAAGCAGTTGCGACCGTGCGTTCCGAGGGAATCAGCGTCATAGTCGCGTTCGCAGTAGTTCGGTGATGGTTCTAGAAAAACGAGCTCTCTTGACTTGGGTTTCACTTTGGTCTTCTTCGTCCTCAGATCGCTCCAGACGTTCCACCGGACGGATCTCGCTCTTCTGTACTTCTTGACCAGATAATCGGCCACCTTCCTGAATTGGGGCAACGTACGCCAGCACGTCTTCATGCTGCAGCTTCCCGACACTCCGTGGCACTTGCAACCGAGCCCCATCGACCCCTTCACAGCCTGGAAACAAAATTCGATAACACTTTTGAAAACTACAACAAATAGTTTCGACAAATTTATTTTTTATAAAATAGTGTTTTGTTTAGCAGCATCTCTATCGAGCGATCTGCATTCGAAGTTTTAAACGTTGTGGGGTGAGGTGAAAACGTGAATTGCACGAATTCTTTGCATGTGCTATTAATAATAATGTGTTTTATTCCGTCAACTTAACCAATTTTGCCATCAATATAGCCCATTTTAATTTCAAATGAATTTTCTTTCCCATCAAATTAACCTGTTGTAACATCAAGTTAGCCATTTTTGCATGAAACTAACTTTTTTCATTTCCAATTAACACTTTTTGAATCAAACTAACGATTTTTAATTTCAAATTAACTCTTTTCCCCGTCAAACTAACCATTTTTAATTTCAAATTAGCCCTTTTTTCATCAGAATAACCATTTTTAATTTATAAGTAATTCTTTTCCCCATCAAACTACCATTTTAAATTAACACGTGTTAGTGTTTTTAATCACCACGTTGTTGTGGTTAAAATACCACTTTTTAATTTCTAATTAACCATTCCTGCATCAAATGAAGCATTTTTTATTAGAAATTAACATTTTTCCCGGTAAATCTATGCGTTTTAATTTCAAAATAAACCTATTTCTCAACAACTTAACTCCCCTTTAATTTGAAATTAACCATTTCCCCGTAAAATATTCTCTTTTCAATTTGGCATTAACGTTTTTAATTGCAAATTAACTTTTTATGCATTAAATAATTCAAATTAACCATTGTTTAATTTTAAATAAGCCTTTGTTAATTTTAAATTAACCTTTTTGCGCATCAAATTTAATCTTTTTAATACATTAACTCTTTAATTGCAAATTAACCTTTTTTTTACTACAGGCCGTTTTTAACTTCAAATGAACCCTTTTTAATGTCCAAATAACACTGTTTAATTTCAAATAAGCTTCATTTATTTTCACATTGCCCCTTTTTTCAAGACAAAAACCTAGGAGATGGTATGAAATTTAAGCTGTTATTTTATTTTTTTTTAATTTGGGAAATGTTAGAATTTGTGTCTTTTAAGATCCTAATTGCTTTTTATTTTTATTCGGAAATCGTGAGATGCGGTCTGGTGTGATGTAGGTTTCAGAAAAACATTTTCTTTATCGTGCCGCTGCCACCTCCCACTTATGCTACACCTCTCATGTGTAGCATAAGTGGGAGATGAAAGCATGCATTTTTCCCGCTCATTTAAGATCCAGCCTTATTTTTTATTTTTAAATTTTAAAAATCCACAAATATACTGTAACTGTACTTTATACTTTTACATTTCACACCATAACTTATTTTTTAATGCTTTAAAGAAAGGTTTAATTTGAAATTAAAAGAGGTTAGTTCAAAATGGTTAATTTGACGGAAAACAGCTGTGAAGAAAAAATCATGTTTTTGCTAAATAGCGTAAGTACCAAACCTACAAGCTATAAATTGTATTTGTAGCAAAAACCTAACATTGAGAGAGGTGCGATTTTCTATTCTTCTATAAATTGGTTAATTTGGTGGCATGTGAACATTTGCGATCAGTTTACAGTTTGGTTAAGCAAAACTCCCAGGTTCTGCGGAATAGCTATTTACTTCTTCTAATCTATTTCCCATAATTATACATAAATATGGTTATGTATAACACCTTTGATTTTTGGGAATTGAATACCAGTTTCATAGTAATTATGCAGTTTTCTATTACGAACAGATTACTCTTAGCTGACATTTAAATCCCCTTTTCCACATTCAGTCTGCATATAAAATCGACACATTTCGTAGGACTTAAATTTTAACTATCTTGTCATACATGGTATTCCAAAATCCTGGGCGCAGCACGATCCCTGAGAGCAGCCCGCTTCAAAATCTCTTTCATAGCAATACATCGCATCATTTCAATTTGCTTTTTGGTTACAGAAGTAGTCATGTTCCAAAAAGAAGTTTTTATAAAACTTTTGTGAGTAATTGTTAAAGGCTTATTGTCCAAAATCGTGATGGATCTGATACGCTTTCGGTGTTACGTGTTAGGTCAAAGTCCAAGAGGCTCTAAGACCTAGCACCCGTGTATCACAAAATGGTACATTTCTATATTATAAATAGTTTTTACCTTGTTTCACTGTGAAAATAAGCAATGCTGTTCGTTTTTAAAACTAGAAAAGAGTAGTTGAAAATGAATCTAATGGGTGTTCTATACTTCTGAGTGTTCGGTTAGCCGTAAAACTGTCCACGGAAAAGAAAGGACCTAGGGAAAGTGACACCCTCGTTGAATCGAACTCCTGCCAGTCATTCCAGACCTTGCTCCATCAGATTACGTGTATGCTTGACAAGAGCTGAAATGTGGGTATTGACAGTGGATAGAATTGTATAGTAAATAATGTATGTATTTTCTTATATACCGATTAGAATGCAATATTAATATTCTCTATCTTTATAGACTAAATTTGAATATTTTCTTAGAACGTGACCTTATCGATCAATTTAGTCATTATTTTAGCAAGGCGGAATTCCGTTTGAACTCCCTTAAAAGCTTTCGTATGAATGGAATTTCTCTAAGCCTTTAAATGAACAAAGTTATTTAATTACGAATTGTTTGGAGATAAGACAAATGAAATGTCCAGAATCACAAAATTAGAACAGCTTTACTGTATCTGTTAGTGATACAACAGTTGATTGTTCATATGACTTCAAGTGACATTAGAAAGAGTAAGAGATTCTGCTATAAAGAAGCTAATGCTTTTTTTCAGGCAAAATCAATCCGTGACCAGTTTAGGAGCAATATTTCATGTAAGGTAAAGTAGTGAATGACAAGTTTTTGACAAATGGATTAGCATGTTGGGATAATTTAGAACGGACTAAATGGCTGACAGTGTTAGATTGTGTGGGTCGGTCTGATGTAGTCAGCTGGAGAGCTAATACGCTTCCCTGTGGGACACCTGACAAAATGGAGATGTTGAAGTTTTCTAAGATATTTGGAAGTAACGTTCTGTAAAACAGCATCTTGGATGGGCATGAACTTTCACAAAAGACACACGTGCCTGGTCAAATGTCTCTCACATAAAACCTATAAAATATTTTTACACCGAAATTCAGATAAATAAGGGATAATTTTTGTAATACTATTTATTTATTTTATTTTATTTTTATTTATTTTTTTACGAGGGTTCGCAACAGAAGAGGTCATATAAACCCTCAGGGAGCCGGTGTTTTTGAAAAAAGCCCGTTTGAAAGTATGTCGTGTTCGAATGTAGGGCCGCTGGATTCGAACCCGGGACCTTTACCTTATAGTGATGAGCGCCGTGTCAACGCCTAAACCGTTGCGACCACCGGCGCCCCCAATACTATTTATTAAAACGAAGAAAGCAAAAATGGGCAAGGCAGAGTTTAATCATCGTCATTCCTCCAGCTGTTCCTTTGGCTTTCATAAAATTCCAAGCAATACGGCACACAAATATTTGGGGCAATAACCGCCCGCCCCCGGTCCAGAGGCGAGCCACAATGCGTCGAACATTCCAATTTCAACGAGATTAATTTGTGAGATCCATCCTTGTGAAAGTATTCCCTTATAGTATCAGTGTTCAAGATAAGTGGAAAAGAACTGACAAGTTGACTTTGTGTAACACAACAGCTTCTAGTTAATAAAACGTCTATCAGAGAAACTATTGGTGATAATGATTGAAATTAAGACATAATTTCTCGTTTGTAATTGTTTTTATCAAATTCAATTTAAATGCTGAGGAAGAGTCTCTCAAGCCTAGGTGAGAGCGACATTCGGCCTTCGGGGAGTAGCGGGCACCCGGAGGGGAGCCTGCGAAAGCCTGAGGATCCGGTCGCCCATCACGAGCACATTGTTTGCAGAAGAATGTCTACCTGAGATTGATAAATCCTAATCTGACCTGCGGGGCGTGACGCCACGCAGTCTCATATTCACTCCCTCGAGACGACTGGCCGATTCGTTCGGCCCTCGAACGGCCATCTCGTCTCACCCACCTTGGTAGCTGTGGCCCACTCAATGTGGCACTGCGGCGACGACGGGTGGTACAGTGTGGTTGAGGCTCGAGACCCCGAAACGGCTCACCTCGAGTCCTCTCAATCCAGGTTGCTTCATTCTATCCTGTGGCCCCTCCTAAACCTTGGTTACAAGGGGGGATATCCAGGCGCAAAATAATGGTATAGGCTAGGGGCTTGGCAACTTCTCTGAAGCACAAGCTGTACTCGTGTCAGTCTCGGGTCGGCATGAGCGGCGTGTGCCTTATCAGAGGCACACAAGGGTCAGTGTACCAGATCCTGTCTGCATAGACGGGGGGGATGCATGCCCATCTGTACCACGGGGTAACAAAACGTTCCACGTTCAGCCCATGTTACGATGGGAATAGATTCGTGGTGGCGTGTGGTGACGCCCCTGGCGGGAACTTAGAGCAGAGGCTGTCTTCTGCCTGTGATCTTCGCGCGAAACTTGAGTATGGCCACCGTTAACACCCGGCCTCACACGATACGGTGGATCGGACGGCAGCGAGGACGTGATGATTATGCTGATTAGTCCCTCGTATGCGTAAGCAGTAGCGGTTGGGAAGGGTAGTGAATCGGTTGCTCCTACTCAAGTATGTTGCATTGTCGTCGTACCTTTGGGGAAGCGAAGGATCGCACCACCTAGGCGTAAGCCTATGGCGTCCCTCGAATGCGCATGGGAGGTGTAGGCTGAGCTCGACGGGAGGATTTACCGTAGGCGGTGCTCCTCTAGGGGGTGGTTAGAAATTCCACTTTAAACGAAACCGCGGCCGGAGCGGATCCGAAAGTTTCGACGCTTGAGGAGCCCCAACAATCTGGGAGATAGAGTCGCTTTCTCTATGTGGCTGATGTATTTCGGCTTAGGTAGCCTAAAACCCGCGCGCGGCAAACGGTCTGGTGCTCAATGCAAACCCGGCCACTTGGAATGGACAAGCGGGGAGCGAGGTTGTTTTGGCCCCTCGGGGCTGAGCTGCCTCTACACCAATGCTCCGGCAGTAACACTATTCTGTCGTATGTGGAGGTGCGCCAGCTCTCATCTTGAGAATCAAAACGTCCGATAAGGCCGAATAGGCTAGGTACGGAAATTAAAGATCCTCAGAGTCCTTTTTAGGATGACGGAGTATGCGGGAACCTTACTGTTCCCTTTCTCACAAAATACATTGATGACATTCTAACAGCAGTACTCTCAGATCAAATATAAACAACATGAATCACATTTAACAACTTTCATCCTCGCTTAAATTCACACACGAAGTCGAAACAGAGAACAAAAAATGCGTTCCTAGATACACACGTAATAAGACAAACCGATAGCACACTAATTACAGAGTGGTACCAAAAACCAATTAGCACTGATAGCTACCTCAACTATATATCACACCACCCCCTACCCACAATATAAAACCCGACTAAAGGATTATTACCCAGAATAATATCTCAAAGTCATGAATCCTTTCATTTAAAAAATATTCAAACATACAAACAAATCTTACACAACCACAACTACCTTAAAAATATAAACAATGGAATCATAAACAATTATAACCCAGCACTAAACAAAACTTCATCCTCCTCAGTGCACAACACATCACTAACCCAATCACACGAAACAAACTAATATGCACGATCATTCCATTCGTCCACATATTGTCACACAAATTAGATAAATTTCTTTTCTTAGAACACATTAAAATTGCATTTAAAAGCCACACAACAGTACACACGCTTTTTGCCAAAGCCAAAGACACAACACCAACAGCCTACAAAACCGATGTAATTTATTCTATTAATCCCATGAACTGTCCATCTACATACATTGGAATTACATCGCAATATATGGAAAAACGAAAAAAACCAACACATCTATGACTGTAAGACACCAATAACCAGTCCCACAGCATTGGTCCCACACCATTTTGAAAAACACCGTAGTTCCAAGTGAAGAATAAGAACAGTTTAGATTTCTAACGGTTGTAATACTGTTGAATATGGTTAAACTACAAAGGAGTTACGAATTAAAATTCTAAACATCTAAAAATATATAGAAATTTAAAGCTTGAAACATGTGACATTTGATAAAGAAATAAATTGTGCCTGCTGATCCAGCCTAAAAAAGTCTACTTTTGGTTTATTATAAACATTTGTATTTAAGGGCTCTAAAGTGGTTAAAACGAATCAAAATTATTCTTATTAAAAATAATTTTGTTGGCCTATTTTATTGAATGTGTCTTTTTTTTTAAACTTTGGGTTTGTATTTTCTTTACTCCAGTCGTAGGGCCAATCGGCCGGAACGCTAGGATATGTGTAGGATATTTTTCGAAGAATTGTATAAAAACACATCTCACATCACACAAAATGCTCACATCCTGCGTGTGAAATTTATTGTTTTTCCAAGGCACAACCTATTTCTCAAAGGCCAGGAATAAGATAGTGCATAAGTTTGCACTAGGTAACCACATGGAAAAAAATATTTTTAGCCATCCCCTAAATCCACCGACCCAGTAGAAAGGAAGAAATATGTGGTGTATGACGTAACTTTATGAATATAAGGTATCGAAGAGGAATCAACATCCATTTTACCGGACGGTTCTAGATTATAGAAAAATGAGGAAAAATAAATGGCATAACTTGCGACAAAGACTGCTGAAAGACCGTACGAAGGGGAGAAAAAAAAGAAGAAACCTTTAATACAATGGAGCCACTCCAAAAGATCGGTTTTAGTAAAACAATTAATAATTCTTTGAATATATCGAGTCCTTTGATTGAACTGGCAGGATTGAATGGTGCATGTAAATCTGATGATTCCACCCAATAAAACTATGTCATCAAATCATAATTTTCCGTTCAGTTGATTATTTCAAAACTCGTAAACCACTAAACTCGAACAAGTCCACGAATTCCTTCCATGAATAATCTTCCTCGCTTTAAAACATTTTTGAAGAGAACGCATTTCTCCACGTGGGTGTTTCTCATGTCTAATTAAAAAGTCAGATCGCTGAAAAGGTTTTAATTACTGGACCTTAATTGGCTTAATTCTTGTACTTGTGACGTTTTAAACTTGATCCGGGATGTCCCACGGAAGCCGCGTTGGACGGAATTTCTTTCCGTCTGAGTTCTCCGGCCCACATGTTCTCTGACAGTGACAAGAGGAAGTGCATATTGATTGGCCGAGGGCTTGAGGACAAAGCAAGGATAAGTAGATTAGTTAAAATTGAAAGACGCCGGTTCTTCGATTCTTTACGATTTCATAGTTCTCTAAGATGTGATAAAAGGTCATAAGCCGTTTAGAATATTCGAGGTGCTTCTTTCTACAGAAAGGTTCTGCATGAGGTAGACTATTATGTTCCCACATGTACGGGTCATAGCTTACTGCCTTCAAATTTTTTATTTATAGTGTATCTTTTCTTGTATTGAGTTTTCTTCGCCTGTGTGATAACGCATTTTAATTAAACTTTTTTTTGATAGTACTAGGTTGAAAAACAAAAATATTGAACAAGTGTCCAAGCGTTCTTGCCAATAAGCCATAAGAGTCGAGAAAATTTGATACGTAGTTTTAAGTACTTTTTTAATGTATTTTTTTATGAACCGTTCTTAGGAGAACAAAACAGAATCTTCTACAACAGAATATATTCAAAAAAGACGAAAGCAGACGTGGAAACTATAGGCGCGCTAGGCTAGAAAATAGAAAGCCCTTGAAAAGTAGATCCTGTAGATCGTGTAGTGGAGTTGTTATAAAGTTATCCCTATTGTGCTAAATTTCGAAACAAATCTGAGGCTACGCCAAAGGCGAAAAATTGAAAAGAAAAATAAATATTCTTACTAGCCCTGATTGTGTTTGTATTTCAAAGTACACTATTTATATACCAACGGTTTTATTTTTTTACGACAGACAAGAAAATATTAAGCAAGATCATATTAGATAATGTGAAATATACAAAAAATTCAATAAACCAAAAGACACATTCAGCAAAGTAGACTAGGAGAATTTCAGGTTCTAATTTATTTATAGGCACTAAATTTGTTCCATTATTTTATAAGGTTATTATTATTATTATTATTATAGTTCATTGTTAAAGTTTCCTGTAGATCAGCAGAGTCGTTTTAAAGTTGTGATTATTCTTGTAACTTTTTAAAATATCAGTGGGTTTTTTGGTAGGCGAACAATTAAAAAAAATGTATCCAATAAGTTTGGAGGGTGGAAAACACGAATATCGACTTCGTTTCTTGTTGAAAAATTATTTTAACCTTCTTTTACTCGGTCACAAAAGCGAGGCGGTATAAAGCAGCAGAAGATATGGTATGAATAACAGGAAATAAATACAAAAGAGAAAATCAGGATCGGATAAAAGGTTAACAAATATAGAATATTATTCATAAATCGATATTTCTTTTATTATAGAATGGATCTGGATAAAAGTTGACTAATGTTCTCCGCCAAGTATTGGTCTGATTGTAAGCTCACTTACCATTAAGGTTTTTATTGATAGTGGCTCAGGTTGCATTGCTGACCGTAGTGTTGATGTTGTGGCTCTGTTTTCATACAGATAAAATTATAAGAAAAACAATAAAATAAGCGCTTCGACTAAAGCACCCATTTTATTTTTTGAGTCAGAAAAGGCCAAAATTGCTGTACTAGTCTAGTTTCGTAGTTACCGTTCAAGCTTCCATATTCATAGTGGATCTACATTAAAAAAAGATCTGTAAATTTGTATTTCAACTAAACTTAATATGATATGCATATTTCATGAATAAAACATCTTTTTTCAATTTAACTTTCCTCAACCTGCTCATGCTGAATTCAATTCCCAAGTTGATCTTTCAGGCTTATCAAATAATAAATTATTGACGTTTAAGGTTTAATAAACTGTGAGTGAGACTTGTAGTATGACATGCGTTTTTTTTTTTTTTTTTTGTTAAATAATACTTTTGTAATGAATGAGGACTGAGCGAAAGCGGTTTTCTTTTCATGGAAAATAAACCCGTTTTGGTAAAATTATTCATTTACACTTGTCGAAAAAAAGGAGACAGCCTCTCTAAACCTTACCAATCTACCGGCTTTGTTATTATGCAAATTCATGTAACTCCTGGCGTCCTTCTCGAATTCTCTGGCGTCGAGGAACCTCCTGGCGAACTTCATCCCGTAGGAGACATCGACACTGCATCCGCCCCATTTCCACTTCTCTTGTGGCGACCTCTTTTCCGTTTTGCAGCCACACTCTGATATGTTGCCCCTGCTGCAGGAGGCAGCGATCGCGTAAACGGCACCGGCGCTGACCATCCCGTACGTCAAAGCCGCCTCTCTACTGCCTGCAATTAAGAACAAATTCAAAACCTCGGTCAAGAAGAGTATAGCTGGAAACAAAGGAATGCGCTCGCTCGCGCGCGCGCGCGCGCGCGTGTGTGTGTGTGTGTGTGTGGGCGCGCGTGCGTTTTGTAGGCTTATCGGTGTTGAAGGTAGATTCCGTTTTATTTTGGTTGTTTCGGTCGGACTTTCTGATCGTTTTTATTTACATTTCCCATTGTGAATTCAGCTTATTTCCGTCAAATTTACCATTTTCCCTGTCAAATTAACTGTTTTAACATGAAATTAATTTTTTTATTTATTTCAAATTAACCGTTTTTGAGTCAAATTAATAATTAACCTCATAATTAATCACATTACCCTGTTTTTAACATTTAATTAACCTTTTTAATTTTAAATTACCACTTTTTGCACAAAATTAACCCATTTCACATAAAATTAAACTCTTTTCTTCTCAAACTTACCCTTTTTAATTTCAAATTAATAGTTGTAAATCAATTTAAATCTAATTAAATCTTTTTAATTTCATATAAACACTTTTTTTAACTGCAAATTAATTTTTTACCTTCAAATTAACCCCTTTTTCATCAAATTACCCTTTCGATTTTCAATTTTTTGTTTTTTATTGTAAGTTATCATTTTCCTTAAAGTATCAAAAAACCTAGGATATGGTGGAAAATAGAAGCACGTGATTTGGGCACATCTCCCTGAACCGTAAGTCGCCTGAGATTTGTGAGTGTAGGAGGGGAACACATCGCCAAGTTTTGAGGGCACCGTGACTCCGACTTGTCGACTGCTGCGGAAACTTCACACTGCCCGCTCTATCGACTGTCCTTCCATTGCGGAGGAAAAGAAATCCAGAAGTTGATGGTATCTCCTTCCGGGTGGTCAGGGAGATCGTTGGGGACGGAGCTATGCTAAGGCTGTCTAGCGACCCATTCCGGTCCGTGTTATCAAAGCTCTGGAGAAACCCCAATGCCGCTCCTATACCTATCCCCTAAATATAGCGGGACTCCAAGGGACTCCAAACCCCGAAACTCAGACGTCCTCTTCTCAAACATCGCCGGTAAGGCGGCCAGTGGCTGGGCTTCCTCATGGGGCACCTCTGGTTGCATCAACATCGGTGGAGGAGTTACGGATATCCATGGAAACTTGGATAACGGACCTAGGCTGCTTCACAGAATTTGAGGCCTCTCTTCAACCCAATCTTACGGATAAACAAACAAGGAGGTGGAGGAAGAGAAGGCCTTGACCAAACCTGCGGAAAACGAATACAACAAAAAGTGACTAATGGAGCCCATTCTGCAATGAACCTGCCGAGGAATCAGAAACAAGAGGCACATACTGCAGTTCCTTGCCAAGGAGCATATGCCGATGGCAATATTTCTCCAGGAGACCTACATCCGCCCAGTGGCGCACATACAACTGAGGGGAAGTTTTGGGGGTTAGATCTGTGTGAAAATTACATTTCCTTTAAATTCAGACCAGACATTAGCGTATATTTTAAATATCTGTTAACTCAAATAGGGTGACATAACATCGCGGCAGCAAATTTAAAAGTTTATTTTACAAAACCAATATTCAGACGTACTTTCACATAAGCTGCGGTGTACAAAATGGTATTTTTATGGCATTACCTTGAAGGAGGGGGTTGATCTCGATCCAAAAAAAAAGAGTCTGTACAGATCAGGGACCGAGAAGTTTCAGAATCTGAAGGATAATACTGTCGCGCTCCTTCGAGAGGATGTCATAGAATCCATAACTTCATCATGTACATCCCCATAAGTCTTAGTACCGGAGAAAATCCGAGGAGATGGGTTAAAAGATTTTAAATTACTGGTAGACTAACGAGGCCTTAATAAAAAATTATATTTAAACAAAGTATTTCTACTCGAAATATACTAACTATAAAATATATTTTTCATTGTATAAATTCACTTTTCCACATCCTAAATGTATTTGCTAAATGATAACATTGTTTGTAAATCCCAGGCCCTGAAGATGATCTAAATAAAAGATCGAAACGTTGGCACGATAAAGAAAATGTTTTTCTGAAACCTACATCACACCAGACCGCATCTCACGATATCTGAATAATTATCGATTAACGGTCACTAATCTCCACGCATAGAATAAAACTATGTTTCAGCAGAAGTTTAACAGGGGAGAGCCAAAGGCAAAATGCAATGAAACATAATGTGTATAGAAGGAAGGTTGTTCTAAATTAACTTTACCAAGACACTTTTCCTAGAAATAGAAATAGAATTACGAAGAATTACTAGATTTAGAATTACGAATTATGGCCCCTGGCCTCTCCCTGATGGTTCCTGAGCGACTCCGAGGTTGGGCTCTGATCGGACCCCATCGACTTCTTTGGTCATATCGGCGCCCGTACTTTCCCTAAAACTAGTCATCCTCACACTAACTCACACAATAAATACATAAATACTCCTACATACAAACCCAGTCACACATGCATATCCTCTGTCTAGAATCCGTGTCAGAGGGTACCCGACCCGGCTTGGCGGAGCAGCGGTGGAGCCTTGAGATGATATGCTGCACCGCCGCCCAGCATACCCCTAGTCTAACGTAAACTTAACCTATAAAATAAATACTCGCTGCCATGCTCGATCATTTTCCTATAGCCCGGTGGTATTCCATTTCTGTCCCTTTAGGTGCCAAGCTTCGACACCAACTCTTACTAGAAAAGTAGTAATCAACAATTAGAAAGGGGTCAAATAAATACTAAATCTTAAATTAATATAACGTATATAATATAAGAAATAATATCAAATCAATCAGTAAAATGGGTCAAATTTTGAGTTTAGAGCCTGTCCTATAACTATTGAGAACAGATTATTTCCCACATAAATATTTTTTTTTTTCACGTGTAAAATATTCTGGATCGGTAAGACACAATTTCTTACAGCCTAACCAATAAATAAGTATTGAAATTGACAGAATCAATCCCTTTAGTTTACTGACGAATAGGCTTTACTTAAGACTTGATGAAAGACCACCATGAAGACGTGGTATAATGTTACGGAGGGTTAATACTAACTATATTGCAATAAAAAAGGACGCCAGGGACCCTTTGAACGTTGGAAAGGTCTGGAGAGGGTTTCCCCCAACCGTAATAGAGCCTTGTGAGAATAGCCAGTCTCTAGGGTCAAAATCAACTGAAAATAGGTCTCAAACACTCACCTGAGTAGGAAAACCTGTTTAGAAAAGATTTTTACCTCTGACCCTTGATGAAAAAATTGTTGTAATACAATTAGAAAATAATAACTAATGAATACTATGTTAAAATTTGAATGTTCGATAGAGAGAGAAGATAGTAGTTTGTCTTGTTTTTCTTTAAACCTCTGACTTTTTCACCCAATACTTTCGTTTTACAAATTACCGAAGAGCCAAGATTGCAATTTATGAAAGTTGTTGTTGCGAGTAAACGTCCGAGCCTCAGCAGAAGTCTATGTTTATCCTTCGACTTTAATGTGTCGTTTTAAATTACGAGAATTCTGTGAAATAGGCGGAGTAGGACCGCTTGTCGGAATCTCCCTGCCTTTTTGCACACAACGAGGCTCGAAACTGACGATATGGGGAATTACATGGATACATGGAAACATGGAAAACAACGGAGGCTGTCGAGTATTCATAGCGAATATCATCTATAAAGAACAGTTTTACCTATTATCCAGGTTGAATCGTAGAAGAAAAATCATCGTCGCTCGAATATCATCTAAAAAGAATCGTTTTGCCTTAGAAAAATCCCGTTTTGTTTTAATAAAAACCTTTTATCAAGATATTTTTTTTCACTTTTTGTCTTTAGAAAATGAATATCATATAACAAGAACAGATTAAGCTTATAATATCCCCAATTTTTTTAAATACAACCCTGTTACATTAATATCTAGGCTAAAATCCCTCGAATGATATGAATCGTAGAAGTGGGATCATCCACAACCGATTAAAAATAGGCAATGCATGGTGGACACAGGGACTCATACTTTTATCAGGTTTTTTTAAACAGAACCCTTTTATCAAGACAAGCACTTTTAGAAATCCTCACTTCTTAGAAATCCAATGTGCCCCATATTATTCTAGATATCAACGTTTAGGCTATAAAGGTCTTTTTTTAATATTTAGGTTATATTTGCCTTGAATCTGTACTGAGTGGGGCCTGTGAGCGTAGGCAGACGCCCGACCGAGGAGCCAGGCAGCAAGGAGGGACACTTGCAGTACCCGTTATTGACGATGTGCATGGGCCGTGCTACATCCACATCGCCTCCAGCTCTGGGGCTTGCATTGTCGCCCAAGAAGCGGGGGTTTTCTCGTTAGAAGAAGTAAGACAGAATCGAGGAGTATCCGGTTAGACTGTAAGAGTGTGTAAGTATTTTGGACTAAGATCTCGGTCTTATCCGTCCCGCCGGCGAAGTTGGGTTCCAGGGGCTGACAAAGCTAGGGCATTTCAGTCCCCAACACAGTCCCTAAATCCAAACACACTCACAATCTTACCCACTCTTAAATCTAATCTCATTGAGGGTCTATGCAAAGTACTCCATATTCCGCCCTCGGCCTTCTCATATTACAGATTAACGGTAATAAATACATTCAGTCTTAATATACACGGAAGGTAACGCAAAACGATATATCGTATTATATACAATGAAACAACTCTGTTTCCTCCAAAAATCGCAACAGCAGACGCAAAGAGTCGTGGCCTTGCGCAACCCCACTCTATCGTCGGGTTGCATTACTATACGCTCTCTATATAGAGCCAAAGAATGGCACCCTTCAATTTAGTGGGACAAATCGAGCTACATTTCTCTACTTGCCAGACAAATACGAAGGCTTTTACCCAAAAGTAACTATCCGTTTTTGTACCTCGAATGGTCTAATCTTAGCCGGATGAGGACGAGTCCTCTTCTACGATTCAACCTGGATATTATTAGGTAAGTAGTAAAACTGTTCTTTGTTGACGATATTCTCTTCTTAAATGATAAAA